CCGCCTGCCAAAGAGCTGTCTAATCTCGTTCGTAATTCTTTGCCTGCGCCAGATACGAGTGATGCAAAGGCTGTGGTGATCAAAGCACCAAAGAAAACCACGCGTAAGACTGCGAGTTCAACCAAACAAACCACAAAGAAAACAACGGCTCAGGTGGCAAAACCCAAAAAATTTATTTTTATTGTGCTCTATTAAATTTATTTTTCTAACAAATATCTCACTAAACTTCTTTAAAAAGACTTTTAAAATAATAAGAAAAATACAAAAAAAGAAAACAGAAATTAACTTATATATAAATTAACTCGTAAAAACTCCCACATGCTATTTTTTCTAAAATATACTTTAATTGTATATAAATTAATTTTAGTTTAAAGATTCATTTCATGTTTTCTTATTTTATTTTCTTTTTAAAAGTATTTAAAAAAATATCCAAACATGTTTTTTTAATTCGGACGCTTTACTTCAACTCACAAATCACGTGAAAGTAGTTTAAGAGGAAGCCCTTTATTTTGGCAATGCCAATAATTAATATGGGCATGGACTAATTGCCAAATCCTTTCCTTTATTAATTGATAATTGCATATTTCATGATATTCTAAATTCTCAATTTTGTGGACTTTAACAGTGACACATGGCTTCAATTTTTTAAAAATTGTCCTTTGGTTAACCGAACCATCAATCTTCAATGATGATATTGTTAGGTATAATAACCATCAAATTAATCAAATTGTTGAGACCAACCAAATGTGTCAGGATTGGTTTAACTTGGGATTTTGCAGAAAAGAAAGATAAAATTAGGCTTGTTATTATAAATGTTTTGAATGGAATGCTACATATGCCAAACCAATCCCTAATCAAATTGATGATGTCATTTGTACATGTACATTGTCTTCAAGTTTGCAACTTCTTTGCTAAGGTGGAAGTGCGAAACTAAGGAACACAGAGGAAATTGGCTTTTCATAGCCTGTTTATTTGTAGTTCTTTATTTTATTTTTTGAAATTTATTTTAGTATTTTATTTTAAAAAATAATCTTATTTTTATATTTATAAAAATTCAAAATAGTTATTTTTGTTAAATTCTAAGTTATCAACATTAAAAATGCGAGTTGCTTGTTAATTACATTGGAATAGTTTTTCGTTTGATGAAGGACCAAATTGAACTTTATTGAAAATATGAAAGATGAAATTGAACTTATTTAAGAATATAAAAAACTAAAGTGAACATATTTGAAAAGATAAAGAGTGAAAATGGAAAAAAGTATTAGTACAATTTCATAAAGTGGTATTGAATGTGAAACAACTTAAAAATAATATATAATGTACATTATGTACTCCAACATAATCAAATAATTTTAAACAAAGTTTGAATCAATTATAAGTAAGAAAATAAGTGCATTTACAAAATAATTTCATCAAGTAAAAGTTTTATGTAGCATCAACCACATTACAAATATAAAATTTCATTTGCTAAAATCACTAAAAAAAACTACCTCTCTTAAAAAATGAAAACTTTGTATAGATATATGTATGTACAGAATTCAGGTTTTCTTAAAAAAATAAAAGTATAAAATTAAAATTATTTCATCTTAATTATTTTTTAATATTAATTATTAATATTTAAAGTATTTTATATTTATTAGTCAAGTATGGTAAACTTTATAATAGCTTATAAATTATTCTTATTAAAATACTGTAAATTAAAATATAATAATATAATATTTAAAAATTAAATATAACTAAATATAAAAAAGGATTGATCAAATATAAAAATTTATAAAATATGAATAATATGGCTATATATAGTTATAAGAAAGAAAGAATATAAAATATATAAATATATATATATATATATATATATTATTCTTTTATGTGAAAACAATATTTATATATTTATTCTTTGATCATCATATTTGAAGTCAATGTCAAGGGGTTTACAAAAATAACTCATCTACCTTGTCCAACCAACTAAAAGCCCTTATCATGTTAATATATATAAATTTAAATTTATAATATAAAATTGAGATGAATTTTAATTTTTTCTTTTTTGTATAAGTTGAGTTTTGCTTAAATGAAATGAAAATAATGAGTACAAAAATAATGGATTAGATTTGGCAAGCTATAAGTTTAAGTGTTATATAAATTAATAATGTGTGAATAACGAGTTTACAATAACAAGTGGATGTCTCATTGATAAGAGTTAAATGGTGGTGCTAGTGTCTACAGGCATACAATGACAATGTCTAAGCTATGGGAGTGAATATCTTCAGCATATTGTCTATGATGGTTAAGCTTTACCAGATTCTGTTAAATACTAATAAATGGAAAGAAAAAAAAAAATTTTACATGAAGGAAACGTACAATGTAGAAGAAACTTACACTTAGGGAGATTGTTAGTGTGTAAATATGAATAAAAAATCCTACACTATATACAGATGAATATATTGAGTAACATATAAGTGGAAAAGACTTATAAATTTAATGTCTTAAGAATCATTTGTAGTTGGACCATTAATAAAGTTATCCTCGATGTTTGCTCCCTAGTATTTCCAAGTAGTATTAGAGTTAATTGTTCAACTTAGTGATCGTCTTAAACAAATATTCAGTAGTAGGATTGACAATGAATTCATGTATAAAGATCTCTTATGTTTAAAGTCTTCTTGAATGATATGAAAGTCATGCAACTTGTCATTTAATATGAGCTAATAACAACGCAATTATTTAAGAGTGTATTCATGTCAATGGTTAAGCTTTAGGGGCCTAACAGGTAGTGAAAATCAAATAGTTTATCCCTTAATATGAACCAACGACAATTTAAATATTTAAAAGTATATCAATGACAATAATTAAGCTTTAAGAGTTTAGCAAATAGTGTAAATACTTAAAGTGTATTGACAATAATAATTAATAGTTAAGCTTTAATGACCTAAAATGGTTGCAAGTATTTAGAACTTATTGATAATAATAACTAGTGGTTAAGCTTTAGGTCCTAATGGGAGTGTTAGTGATAATCTAAGTATCTAAGAGTTTATTGAAGACAATGTTTGAACTCTGAAAGCTTAACGAATGGTGCAAGTATCTAAGAACAATCAACAATAATGACTAAACTCTAGCAACCTAATGGATAGTGCAAGTGACAATAATATATTATAAACATATTAGAAACAATTAACATGACAAGAAAACTCAAACCCACATATATACGTACATAAACTCATTATCAATTATAAATAGATAATTAAATAAGTACCTTTTAATAATAGAGAAGAGATGAATAGTAAGATATTCATACCAATACTTTAAAAATATTAAAAATACTTTCAATTATATATATAATTTAATTATTTTTACTACAAACATATATATCATAATTATTTATTTTTAATGTAAGTATTTGTTACAAAAATATTTTTTTTAGCATGAATATATGTTTTTAAAATTATTATTTTAATTTTTTTTATATTTTTATTTAAAATTTCATATTTTAACAAATATCTACAAATAGTCATGAATAAATGAAAAGATCATAAATAATTTCTAAATTATGAAAAAGTAAAATTTATTTTTATCCTTAAGCATTGACATATAAAACCTAGAAACAATGAATATTTCAAATAAATCTTTAAAATTGTCAGTTTTTTCATTTAAATCTCTAAATTTATCCACTTATTATTATTTTAGTCCTTCAACACATTTTAAAATGTGTACATAATTGTTAAATTGTCGTTAATGATAAATTACATCTTCAAATTTTATTTTTATTTTGCTTTTAGGTTTAGAAACTCATATGACAATGCTTAACATTTTCTTTGACTAAAATGATAATCTAGCTCAACATGAATATAAGCCACAAAAAATTCTCGTCGTAAAAAATAATTAAGATGCATTAGTTAATCTTATAAAATACCACCGTCAGTCATTTGCCATTAAGCCGACTCCAACAATTTATACTCCTAATTATTCAAGGAAAGTAATAAATTTAAAAAGTAAATTTTAAAGAAGAAAATATATAACCCCAAGCGTGTGGTTCAGCGGTAGGGGTTGATCCACGCTTAAGTAAGGTCAGGAGTTCGAATCCTGCCTTGTGTATGCAGCCGCGTTAAATCTTGGGGCCAGCTATCCCACCCTTTGAGGTGTCTCCAACCTAGCGAGGAGATTAGTCGGTGGATACTCCAGGGACGAACCAAAAAAAAAAAAGAGAAAATATATAAGAAAACAAAAATTAATTAAAAAAATAGCAAGAGACAGAGAATGGTTTAAAGGAAGTTATAGAGATAAAATAGACTAAGGCTGGAGTATGTTTGATCCGTTTTTTTTTTTCACTTAAAAAAAATAAGTTTTAAACTAAAACTAAAAATAAGAACTAAATACTTACATTTTCCTATTAAACAAAAAATAATTTAATTATTAACATGTCAATGATTACTTAATAAAATTAATTTTAATGATGATTTTCAACAAAATATCAATAAAAATTTAAATTTAAATTATAAATGATAAAATATTTAAGTCATTATATATTGCTCAATAGTATTTTTAAAGAAATAAAATTTATTTAGTAACATTCAATATAAAATAATATTAAAAAAGTTTTATGTATCTCAAAAACACTCATTAAATTAATAAACACCTCGCGCAGTTATATAAAAATATATTATTTTTCTCAAAAGAAAATATAATTAACAACTAAAACAGTAAAACAAACAATAGTAAATAAAATAAAAAATTGCAAGAGTAATTGCTTAGGAAAAATTTTCCAGAATAAGAATTTTAACAAAATAAAATAGTCAACAGGAGTAAAAAGTTTCTAATTAACGATCAAAAGAAGTTAATAAAATTTAAATAAGAAGAACAATTTTACAAGAGGAAAAATAACTCATTAGAGATTTTAGAGAAGACTAACTCACAAGGAAGTAAAGAAACAAAATCGAGAACAAGAGTTAACCCTAAACAAAATAAAAGAAAATAAAATAAGAGACATGCAAAGAACAACAAATAGTAGGATATTGTTAAAAAGATCCACTTAAACTTCACTTAACCTCGTTGAGTTAGCTTTTTCAAGAACTGTTTATTTTTTCATCACAAATTATAAACTAATTTTAGTGAAGTTTTTATACAAATATGTTGGACCCAACTTTTACAAATAAGTAAAATTAAACAACAAATAAACTAAGCCAAACGCACTCTAAAAAAATTGAAAAAAGATCTCCTTTATATGTATTATTGATGGATTTAGACATGGAGAAAGAAATTGTATATTGGGGTTTAGGGTTTAGTATTAAGACTTGAATATATTTTTAAGTTCCTCAAATTTAAAATAAATTTATTTTTATTTCTTAGCTTTAAAATTATTATTTTTAATCTTTATAATTTAAAAAAAATTATTTTAATTTTAATATTCAAATTTTGTTAAAAAATTTATCAAAAATTATTACATAAAATTTACCTATTAATATCCCTATTAATCACATTAAATTCAATTGATATTATATAACTTCTTTAATTTATCTCTTTCAAATATGTTATTGATAATTTAAGAAATTAAAACTATTTTTAACAATTACATGAACTAAAAATAATTATTTTAAATTTAAGAGACTCAAAATAAATTCATTTTAAATTTGAGTACTAAACATATTTAAGCCATAAATTAATTATGAAAAACTTAGGTTCAATTGCACAAAATTAAAATCTATTTATTTGTTTAGAGGAATATACAATTTGTCAAATCAAAGAAAGCATCAATTCCAATATTATTTGCAAACAAGAAACAGGATACAGATTGAAACACGAGTCTGATTCAAATAGAGTCCACAGATGACGGAACTGAATTAGCTAAATATACCGAATTAAAGGATATACTGCCATCATAAAAAGCTCTCACTAAATCACTTGTTACATTTGGTCGTCTTTAACGAAATCAGAATAAAATGCATTGAAAACGATAGAATAGAAATGAGATCAGACTCACCCAACGAATGTGGCGATAAGCTTTAGCAGATTTCTCAACATAGATTGGACGAAATTTGCAACGTTTAAATCTCCCCCTAGCATGCTAGGCACCGAAAGGCGAGAAGCAAAAAAGGTTACAATATCCTATGGCAGACTTAGAACTCAACAAAATCAAACACCGCTCAAAAGACCAACGATGTAACAAAACCTTGTATAGCAAAACATCATTTGCAAATGAACTAGAAAATGCAAAGAGCAATAAAAAAAAGATCGAAAAGAAACTCAACTTCCCAACTGTATGATACAATTGGGCAGCTATTAATCCATCTCTAGACAAAAAACCAGATGTTGCCTCAGATGCAAAGAAAAATTTAACGTTGTGATTCATTTTTAACAGCGGCATCTCCTTTTCCCGGATGTAATGCTCTGGCATCGAGTGGGATACTGCCGACCTTCAAACCAGAAGGCGTAGCAAATCCATTGACTTTGACCTGCATCGAGCCTACTGTAACTACATCAATTGGTTCTTTACCACCAAAGCCGACAGATTGTTTAGCCTCAACCTGTTTTGGGGCAATGGTAACTGAACCAATCTTTAAGATAGAAGAAATATCTTCTTTATCAGCAGCAATTTTCTCAGCTTTCTCATCCACAGACTTGATGCTAGTATCTTCTTTATCAACAAAAATATGCTCAGGACTTGAAACTGAAATCTGCTTTAAGCCATCAGAATCATCCTTCAGCTTTGACTTCTCATAATTGACTGTTGGAACGTCAACAACAAAATTCAACTTTTGAGGAGCTTCCAATACTGGTACAAATAATGGATTCAACTTTCGGGGAGCTTCCAATGCTGATACAAACAAAGGACCATCCAAACTCTTGACTAGCAACTTGGCTTTCTCATCCATCATGATCTTTTGACGGTCTTCATAGTATATAAAGTCATCCAGCAAAGAAGTCTTCAAAGTATGATTTTTGAATATTTTTAGCATTTCCAAACCTTTCCAATACATTAACTGCAAATATGCAAGGGACATTAAATAATCAATGTTACAACTTCATGAAGATAAAAATAGACATAAATGGTAATAAGCTAAATTTATCAATGTCAACCACTATGGTAAAATAATAGACAATAGCTTAAACCAATATCAAAACAATGATATAAAATGTGATGAACATCAATACGCTTGGTCTAATGCGATAAATTCAAGCATGGAATCATGTATACATCACTGCTTGACCCATTTAAACAGTATACACATCCAAATTGCCAATACCATTTAAAAAATATTATTTTCTTTAGCAAATAGTTAACTCAAATTCTACAAATCAAAAAAAATATGCAACTTTTAATTTTTTTTACCTGTGCTTTCAAGACACCACTTATATCTTAAATCCATCACCAACATTACAGTTTATATAAGTGTACGTATGAGAGTGCAGACATCCAAATTGCACAGAACAGACTCAGTTCAACTAACTTACACCCACATTAATAAATGTTAACAAAAGAACCTCCCAGTTCTAACTTATTAAAGGAATTCTGACCAGAAACATTATATACCTCCTGCGTGTCTCTGCTATTAGTAACTGGCTTGTTTTCATTGTTCTCTAGTATAATGTGCCTAAAATTTGGATTTGGTACATCTTTTATGATGTGCCACTTTACAGGAAAGCTTCCACTCCATTTGTCTTGTTGCCAAAAGTCCATATTCTTATTAAAATCAACCGAACCAACCATCTCTGCAACCCCACAGAACTGCCCACTTGCATTAACCTGCATTAACAAAAGAAAAAGAGTATAAAAAAAATGTCAGTGTGATTAACAGAAGAGAACTAATTTGCATATAGATAATAGATATTAGAAAATACATACACAGATAATGAAGAACAAGAATCAACACTTGTTGTACACTTACCGAAAAAAATAGAAAGATAGGGCAGACTGCAGACTTTTCAGATGCTATTTTCTTTGCATCCTCATAAGCATTCTCCAGCTTCTTGTTTCCATGAGGTGTTGATGACCACACATTATATTTAATGCTCTTGTGAACATCATCCTCACTATAAGATTTTATAACAAAAAACTTTGCATTTTCATAGTCAAGAGAAAAATCCTCCTTGTTATATTGATCGGTATAAATGATGATGTTCCCCTGTTCATTACCATCTCCTGCCATGGTTGTATAGGCTTTCACAGATAGCTGATGTTTTGATCTACTAACTCTAGGGCCTCGATTTTGCTCACCCAATACCTCAGAGCTCCCATTACCACCACTTGGTACTTTGCCAATGTGAAGCTTTGGCCTAGGTTTACCAACTGCAGACTGTCCATTAGCATTGGATCCAAAATCAGAAAAATCATCATTAGAAGCTATTTTCAATTATGATGAGACACAAAAACATTCAAAATAGTATATACAGCTTGTAAGTAAACAGCAGGGTTCTATCCTACCAAAGCTGAATAGTATAACAATCCATTAATTTTCAAGAAATTGGCATTTTAAAAGAGGAAAAATCACATCAATTATCAAACCAACAAACATCAAGAAACAAAGCTTAACCAAAACTCATCCTCATCAAGCCATGTCCTTCCCCGGGTGAACTAAAATAATAACACATTGATGGGAAAAACTTTAACCAACTATAGTAGTTCGTAGCAACTAATTTCACTCATTGAAATGATGATTTTCATTCAACCATATGCAGAAGGGTACAGGTCAACAATTCAAATGTAATCAAAAGAAAAATAAGGGCAAAATCCCTACCTGATTGACAGCTGGTGAGGCTAAATTGAGAAAACTACTCCCAGAAACACTTGCATGTGTTGAATCTTGCTTCCTCCCTTCATTAGCTCTCGGCCCTTCTGATACCCTGGCCAAGGAACTTGTCTGATTTGATAAAATTTTTGAAGAGTTTCTAGAAAAGTTACCAGAAGCTGAATTGAACTTATGTTTCAAACCTCTTCCATCAGGTTTCCTGACAGAAGCACCAGCCCCAAAAAAGGAGTCTGCAGAACTATCAGAAAAATTGTCAGCTTGAACAAGGGGAATATAACCAGGTGCAGAAACTGGGTTTTGATAATTGGGAAGAGTGTAATAAGGTTGTCCTCCTCCAAATGAACCATCAGCTCCTATCATAGCACCAGGAATGTAAGGATTATATGGATTGTATGGAGACTGTGCATATCCATAGCTATAATATACATATGGCAAACTTTCATTTTGTGCACCCTGGAAAAAATAGAAACATTAAAATCAGACACGAACCCAGCATAGAATAGAGAGAAAGAATGGTTAAACTTACCGTGTACTGAATATTAGGACCATCTACACCAAAAATTCTACGGTGGTCCTCCCATTCCCCGGGTGTTTCAAATCCTAAACACAATAATATCAAATTATCAATATGATGTATCATCCAAATAAAAGTAACATATAGTGCTTTAAAATTTACCTGTACAGTAATACCCATAATTGGTGGCAGCAGGGTAATACACGTTCTGATCAACAAAAAACTCGGGAGCTCCTTCATTAATCATGACTTCAGTTTGTTCAAGATTTGGGCTTGTGATGTGTGAATTTAAATCAGCACCTTCAATCTAAAGTCAAATACATGATTGACCCATTATTGACTATCATACCACATCAGTGATAATGATACATACAAGTGCTTAAAATCATTTAAGGAATCCTGAAACTTCAAGAAAGCTCAAAGTACAGAAGCTACAAAATTTTATAAAACTCACCATGCATGCATCATGGTTTCTAGTTTCAGAAACATGCACTTCCATACCAGAACTGCCACCACTGTACGCAGTCATGAAAATGAATTGTAACAATTCAAAAACTATAAGAAACACACACAAAAAAAGGCACAAACCAAGATTTCCATCAATTAACAACAGATAACCTAAACAATAGTATCTAGAAACACTCACAAACAGTTTCTCAAGTGAGTAACAATACTATGATACCCAACAAAACATTAAGCATGCTGCAAATGAGCTACAAAAATCCTCATGCCAAGAGAACCAAACCAAACCACAAATACTTTAGAAACAGTAAGAACATCAGCATGTTTAGCATATGAACGAGTTTTGCGACTGTTGCCAATAGACTAACACAACCCTCCCGTACCCAGACTCGATGTCAGCTATAAAGCATGCGGAGAAATACTGTAGAAACGAAACCAAAAAAAAAAAAAAAAAAACTACAACAACAACAGAAGAAAAATGATTTGATAAAAAGGAATTTCATCACTCCCTCTGATTTTCGTGTATTCAAACATCCATATATCAATCATATCAAGCAAATTCCATCCTTCGCTAGCACTGCCACACATCTGAAATAAGCCAGTTCGATTCTAAACACACCCTCAAATTTTTCCCAACCAGAGCTAAGTACCAATACAATAAGCCCGCTGAAGACCTCCAAAATCAAAACACAACTCAAAATCCCGCCAATTTCACAAAGAAAAAGAAAGGAACATCCACCGCCGTAAACCTAACAAAAAAAATTCAGCTCTCACAAGCGCAATCAAGCGCACCGCAACAAGACCGCATGATACAGCAAATGAACAAGCACTCTTGACTTGACAATTGACGAAGTAATCGATAAAAATAAAAAAATAAAATAAAAGTCAAAAACCTAAAACAAAGAAGCAACCGATACTAAGAGAGGGAGAGGGAGAGAAGTAAAATTACCCGAAGAGAAGAAGAAAGGGAGAAGAATCAATGCATGGTTGGCGAAGAGCGCAGAGGAGGATTGGAATCGAAGCGAGCGAAGAGCGAGAAAGCGGCTTGGTGCGACATTCCGCGTGGCGAACACGAAACCCTAACGACGAAGCGAAACGGTGAAGGCTTTGGCCCGCGAGAGAAGCGTTTTGGTGTGCGTAACAAAAAACACCAGAAACCAAGTGGAGTAGTGAAAACTAGAGAGAGTGATTCTCCATTATATAAGATACGAAGCGTTTCGCTATTTTCTTATTTCCGCATTTACCAAAATGCCCCTGCGCCGCTTCGGATACAACGGAAACGCCACTTCGTAAATGCCAACGCCGTCGTTTTGGCTCCAATGCTTGGGTTTCACTTGTTTTTATTTTCACTGTTATGCCCACCGACAATGGCTTTCGAGACAACCATTGGAGCAGTCATAGTGGTAACGTGAACGTGTGTGAGAATAGCATCGCCCCCCAATATATCCAAGAACGAGAGTGTGATTCTCTCGCTTTGTTTTTATGGGTTTAGTTAGGCTACTATTAGTATGTTCACTTGTTGGCATGTACATTTCTTTTAATAAATAATGGGATAGTTAATGGATGGATAAGTTGTTTAACATTCTCCCTCAAACAAAAGTCTAAATTCAACTCCCATCTTACGAATTCAAAGATATAAATAAAAAATTCTGGTAGAAAATTCTAGAAAGAGGAAATAATTTATGAGAAATGTTAATGAAAACTCTTTTTTGAATAAGATTTATTAGAAATATATTTTTTTTCAATTTCACTTCTTATTTAATAAGCTTTTTTTATTTTATAATTTTCAACAAATTTAAATCAATAATTAAATGCATGTGTTAAAAATATTGTGTTCTTAATACTTTCTCATAATTATTTTATTTTAAGAAAGTTTTGAAATTGTGAATCTTTATGTATAAAGTTAAATATATTTTTAGTTCTTTAAAAATTATTTTATTTAATTTTAATCTCTCAAAAAAATATTATTAATTTTGGTCTTTTAAATTTATATAATATTTATGTAAATCTCCTCTTAAACACATATAACTTTTACTATATTAAAATAGGTCACTTCAGCATTTAAATCATCATTAATTTTACTGATATAAAACTTTTTTTAATCATTTTAAGATTAAGTTAAATTTTAGGATAAAAATTAATATTACACAAATTTGTTACTATTCACAAACTCGAACATGAGGCTCTAGAAGTACTTTATTTTGTTTTTTATTTCTCTATTTTGCTTTTATCCTCGGTGAAGGAAGTTAAGAATCTCTCGATTCTGAAAGACAACACATTGAAACTTGAGATGAAAGAAGAATGAACATTATTTAAAATAACAAGTGCGTTGTAGACTTTGAGAGTTGTTAAAGGTGAATGGGTGGGCTTTGAGAATTGTTGAAGTTGAAAGGGTGTCACTAGAAATTGAAAATTTTGAGTTTAAAGAGTTGTCAATGATAACATAAAATTAAACATTTATGGACATGATAATGGAAGAAAAAAAAAAAAAAAAACTTCCTTTGAATATGTGAGAAGATTTTATTAGAGTTTGGTGGAAGCCTTTTAAGTAAAAAAAAAATTATGGAACCTTGATACTTATATGCGTCTAAGAGTGAATAATAAAAAATCTTAAGTATAAAGTTAGTTTATATCTTAAAACAACTTTTTTCTAAAATAATTAATATTTTTAAGATTAAAAAAAATTATGTCAATAAGACTAATGATAATTTAGATATTGAAGTGATCTATATATTTTAACGATAAAAGTTAACATTGTTTAAAAAAAAGATTAAAAAACAATATTATATAAATTTGAAAGACAAAAATCAAGAAAAAAAATTATAAGAAATTAAAATTAAATAAAGTTAATTTTTAGATGATAAAAACACTTATACGCGCGCGTGCATATATATATATATATAATTTGTTTCAGTTTTCTCCTATTGTCTTGTATTAATATTTCTTATGTTAAAGAAATTAAGCATATCTTTCTCTATACATTTATGAATTTTATGAAGTTTTTTTCCTCTACATTATATGCAATTTTCTTGTGTGTGATAAACAACAACAACAAAAAATCACGCTTTATTTTCAAACGTTATAAAACAATTATTTTCTTTCTTTCTTCTCTATATTTTCTATACTCCTTTTTATATTATTTTTGCAACGCTATTAAATAGTTATTGTGCTGCTTGCAACTAAGATTTCGTGTAATCCTAGGTAGGTCACTACGAAATTATAAAGTATAAAATTATAAAGTACTGTATAGAAACAAGACATGAATATCAAAACATAACTAAAATCTAAAATCTAAAACATCACGATACATCACACAAACATATACGGTGACTCTGATATATAAGTTTTATAATCTTTACATGATAATGGCCTATAAAAAATAAAATTAAAAAATTTAGTAATTCCAATGAATGAATCTCACGAAAGATTAAAAAAAATGTTATAAGACAACATTTATAAATAAGTTAATTTTTTAATTTTATATTTGAAGTGTTAAATTAGTGTTGGCTTCTTACTAAATTGCCTTGGAAAATTGTTTAAGTTGTGTTGAAAATGTGTTTGGAAAAAAAAAATTATAATACTATAGAAAAAAATCGGATTTGTGTCCAGATGTGTTTGGCAGTATATGTCCGAAACATATCAAATACATATAATCAGCTACACGGATATAAAGAAACATGTTTGCAAATTGTGTGTGCAAAAATAAAGAAGCATACTGAAGAAGTACTCTAATATGTGTATATTTTGATATGTGGGTTAGCAAGTGGTTTAATGTTGCTACGTTTCCTCTTTGCATCTGTAGCATGTGAGTGCATGCTTTCTTATGGTGCCGAGAGGCTACCACACTTTGAAAACACTATCAAAAGCTAAAGAGAAAGTGGATGCTTTTTTCCTCACCATTAAGGTGATTCTCGGAAGCACTTTGTGCAAAAAGGGAGTGTATGTGTATGTGCCTTGCTTTGCCCATAAATAACTTTCCCACCACTCCAATTATCTGTTTATAAACACGCTTCTAATATTTTTTTTTCCTAGATTGAATAGGATCTCATAAATCTAATCGTACTAATATTACATTATGCATATTACACTCTTCACCTACACAAAATTATCTGTGTTATCACTTATCAATACCATCGAACAGTTTTTTTTTTAAAGACAAGACCTACAAATAGAATAAATCCATTTTTTTTTATTTTCAAAAACTGAAAATAAAATGAGAAACTATTATGAAGCCGCTTAATTTTATTTTTAAAATGAAAGGGTTTGCTCTCCTCCCTCATTAATTTCTCCATTCAGACAGATCAGTACAAAACAGGGAAGAAAAACAGTTTCTGACAGTAATGTATTTTAGTAAAAAGGAAAGAAATGGAGAAAATATGACAAAAGTAGATAAGGAATGAAATGATGCTAGAAATACTCATAACTCTAAAAAAAAAACACATTTCAACACATTATATTTTTTAAATACTGTATTCAATTTTAAATATCATCCATTTATTTTTAATAGATTATTTCTCATTTTGATTCTTTGTAAAATTAAACAAAAGGGAATGGCAAAAATTGAACAATAGTACCCCAAAATGAACTCTAGCCTATTACAAAACAATAATTGATTCCATTACAATTGTTTATACCAATTCCACAACTAATACTACATTTAAAAATAAAATAATTCCCTCCAATTCAACTAAGCAGGCTTGCATGTTCTCTAAGCTGGATGAATCATCACAAATTGATCAGAATTAACAACCTTTGATGCCCATTAAACAACTCTCACTCAATAATGCTGCAGTATATCATATTAGACCGTTCACTCGTATTTCTTACACCACTAACCCGAGAATGAACCTCTTGGCATCAGGTCATCACCATGTAAAGCCAAAACAAAAGTGGAAGGTTAACATAGCCACCAGTCCACTCAGGAAACAAAAGTTAGAATGCCTTTTCAAAAATTGAGAATCGAATCATGGCTCTAAATATCAGAAGCTGGTTGATGGCTAAGGTCTGCTACAGCTTCTGGGTTACCAAGATCAGTGCTCCCAACTACAGGTTGGGGCTCCACTTCCTCAGCTCCAACAAAGGAATTCCCTGGTGTGCTGGCAGACATGGGAGGCATTTTTGGATCCGAAGTTCCTACATCCTGTGACCTAAGATCCTTTTGATCAGGATGTTGTTGATCTGACCTATCACGCCTATCATATCTGGGGCTGCTGCGGCTACGGCTACG